TCCGATCTAAAATAAATGCTTTGTGACCTAAAATATTCTAAATTTTTATCCTAATGCATTGGATATGCCATTAAGTAGTCTTTTAAGCTAATTCTTAATGTGCACCCATGAGCCAACTCAGCAATTACCAATAGGGACGGACATAACTTATAAATTATGAGTTCATGTGAACCTAGTAGTTTCTATTCAGACCTTGCATTTTTATTAAGAAATTTATTAAATATTTATAAATATGTAACTATGAATTCAATTATTATGGTATATTAACTAGGGATATTTACCTATCTATACTATATTAGAAACTTATTTACCAATATTCTCTATGTTTTGTAGTTTTTAATAAGTATCTAGGTTTTTCTTACAAATTGTGTAGATTGCTCATTAAAATGCTCCCACCCTATTATTAGCGCCTTCAATTAAGAGATTCACTTATATCCTTTCTTTTTTTTTGTAAAAATAGCACGGTCTAGCCAGTTTTCGACCGGTCATTCAAAAATAGCCGGCGTTTACCAAGTCAATGAAAAATAGCCACTATTTTGCTGCAACAGAGACCGGTCCAGCATAATATACTGGAGTTCGGTGCACCTGTGTATGAACTTCCAGCATATTATGCTGGAACTCCAACACACGGAAAGTTCCAGCATAATATACTGGAGATTCAAGCACTTGTGTATGAACTTCCAGCATATTATACTGGACTGGTATACTTGCTGGAACTCCAGTATATTATGCTGGAGTTCTAGTGTACTTATGCTGGAACTCCATCATATTATGCTGGAGTTCCAGCATACTTATCCTGGAACTCCAGTATAATATGCTGGAGTTCAAGTATACTAATGCTGGAACTCCAGCATAATATCCTGGCGTATTTTTCGGGTTTTGAACAGTGTTTTCGCTCAGATTTATCTTTACATGAAAAGTGGCTAAATTCCAATTACTTTTGAAACTGGGCTATTTTTGAACGACCACTTGTAAATCTGGCTATTTTTAAATTTCACCCTTTTTTTCCCTCTCCTCTTCTCTATACTTTTTTTTTACAACAAAATTCCTTAATCTACGCCCAGAATCTCCATCCTCTCTCTTCCCACCATTGCCGACAATTTTATATTATTAAATCATCATCGTTCTTTTGCTGGGAGACCAGAGAACATTGAAAATGAAGAAATATTCAGGAATTGTATGATAAATGTATCATAATTGTATTTAAATTGTATCAGATACATCAATACGTAAAATATAATTGTATCATACTTGTATCACAATTGTATATAACTTGTAGATGATACATTAATATCCAAAATAATACCTGATACAATACTAATAAATTTATATATAAATCATATATTTGTGATACAAACTGTGAAATTCGTCACGACCTCACAACTGCTCATAATTCAAATACAAATTTGATACAATCCTAAAAGAATTCTTACACAATTTTGATACAATTCTGATACAACTTAAAACTGACTCTAAACTTAAACAGATACAATATCGTATTATACTTGTATTAGCATTGTATCATGTATTATTTTAGGTACAAATTGTGATACAATTCTAAATTATGATACAACTTTGATCTTCGTCTTTTTCAAGTTTCAATTTATAACATCAACCTAGAACCAACTCTAAACTTAAATTATAATACAATATTATATTTTAATAGTATTAGTATTGTATCAGAATTGTCTTAGGTATTGATGTATCAAATACAACTCAGATACAATTATGATACATTTATCATACAATCGCAATACAATTCCGATACTTCATCTTCCTCGAGTTTCATTATGAAATTCAACCTAAAACCAGCTTTAATGTAGAGTGAAGCTTACCCACAACTTGATTGTAGAGCAAATCTTCGAATTTTTTCTGTATTGTATAAATAAGAAAGAGATTTTGGACGATTAAAGAGAGAAATCGTATATCAACAGTTTTGGAAGAGGAAAGAATCTACAATTTTGGGGGGATAATAGTGGAAGAGGAGTGAGTAAGCGAGATTTTGGGGTTAGAAAGATCTAAGTTGCTTGGATACGGGAGCTGGTGTCCGACACGGGTGCGGATCTAGAAGTCGGATCCTTCGAGATGTAAATTCTAAGATTCGGGAATACGGATCCTAGTACGGATACGGGTGCAGGGATCCGGCTAAAAATAATTTACAAAAATAAAAATAGAAAAATATCTCTAAAATCTAAATTATGAGAATTTTTGTGGAATACTTAAGTATAGCCTATAAAATGTGAATTTCTTTTTTATTCTCAAGTTGTGTAGATAAGTAAAAGATTGATTTAAGGCATGTTATTTTCTTCAAACTTACCCTAGTTTTGGTTCTGATTTCGAGAATCAAATTGTATCTCATCTCGAATTTTTTCATCCATCGTGGTCAAAGTATCCAAAGTTGTTTTACCAGATCCGGTACGGATCTCATACCCACACCCATACTAGTGTCGTGTCAACACGGCTGCGGTAGCTAAACTGCCATGTCGAAGCAACTTAGAGAAAGATTATGGGTATCAATGGGTTTCTTACTGTGGGTAAATACAAATAGAGGTGATGATTTTGGGTTCAGTGGGTTTCTTACGGCGATGATTTTGGGTAAGTACAAAGAGAAGTGATGATTCTGGGTAAGTACAAAGACAGATATAGTTTTCCTTGAAAAAAGGAAGAGTATCTTAAATGTAGGGGATTATGTGTAACTGTTACCCAATATTTAAGGTATGTTTCATTTCCTCCTTTTATGGTTTTGTATAAAACTAGTAACTATAGTTATATAAAGTAATTAATAAGGAACCTAAATAAAGATAGTAAATAGGTTTGTATTATAGTATAGCTAGGTAAAAAGTGCATCATGGAATTTGGTGGTTGATGGATTGGACGCCAACTTCTTTAGGCCTTAGTGAACAATAGTGTCGAAGGTAATAAAAATGACAGATTCCTAACAGAGAAATAGTTGTTAACTAACTGATTCAGTGTAATCAAAACTTTCCCGAATAGAGAATAAATTGTTAACCGACTGATTCAATACCCTTATTGTTGCTCTTTTGGTTGTAAACATTGCATTCTGATGTCCAAGTGTAACATAAAGACCATATAAATCAAGAGTATGTAAACACTAAATAGTTGTATTATGGCCTTTTTGTTAAACTTTGTCATTAACAGCCATGGAAGGAGACACACACACACACATATTTGACAACTTTTTCTCCTTTCATCCCTTTGGCAGCTCAAAAGGGTACAAGCTTGTTGAATAAACTATTTACTTTATTTTTTAGAAGCAAATCATGGGGGGGGGGGGGGGGGGTCGTGTGGTGTAGACAGTTAATATGAATACAGGGGAGAAGGGACATTATTAAAGTGATTTAATTAAGAAGTGTCATCACTTCAACAAAATAGAATCATGCATTGCAAATGTCTTTTGCCAGAACACTTTATCAACCCAGGTCAGATGACATACCACCAACATACTCCTCAAGCAGACACTCCAGCCCTATACAGGAAAAGAACTTATGGTTTGTCCGCAATCTGCATAAAAGATTAAGATGAAGTTAGCTACCATAGGCGACAACTAGAAGATACAATCTGCATGAAGTTGAAATGCCAGGATGTTGAACTTGAGAAAAACACAACTCGTTTAACAATTAATGCATCCATAGCTCCCACTCCTTACATAATCATACATGCATTGCTTGCAGTTCCGACCATGACCACAAACAGACTGAGATTTAGCAAATTGGACACATAATACTATACCCTACAACTGCTGCTTGTAAAGACAGAAGGCAACCAATTGAGGGAAAAAAGAAGCCAACATGTTAAAAGAAGGTGCTACACTTGTCTTCCTCTAACCCCTATACTGTTTCCTACAGGTTTTCAAACAATGCAGCAAGAAGTCAACCTGTAGAGAGATATTGCCATCTCCAAAAGGATGTAACTCTGCATTTTGCTTATGTCAAGAAATGGAAATACAAGTCAATCTTCTTTACTTGATAACAAAGAGGCCGCATTGAATTTCTCAACACATTCTTTTCTAGAAAGCACAAAAAAATAGTAACACAAACTTTGAAGTTTGAAGCATATAGAATTAAAAGGTCACATTAATTTCTCAACGAATAAACAAAAATGTGCCAAACTTGACAGTTCGAAGTGTCAGGCAAACAGCAATACTCCTATCATCACTATGGAAAGAATCTGGTACCAGGTCCATAAAATGACAAACTGATTTAAATGGAGTTAACTCAAACAGCATAAAAGTCATGATTTAGAAGTCTGTCCACAACATATCCAGCTCAATAACAGGTCATATGAGCAAAGAATGCAAACACATTCCCCAGAAAAAAAACTAAAAGAGGGTCTGGGACACCATATCCCCTTGAACTTCTAAAGTTTGTTTTAAGCCCCTTCCACTAATTCAATTAGTCAACTAAGAGAAAAATTAAAAGGGAAGAAATTAACCACTTGCCCAAGCAACTTGCCACATCTGATTCATCTCAAATGGCACATTCATGAGGTGAATAACCAGATGAAGGAATCAATTATAAGCATTTCTCCAAGTCATCTATGGTTGCAAAATAATAGTACTTACTATGTATCAAAACTAGATAATGTAATGCGTAATTTCAATCAACCTAGGGTAAGCATGTTTGAAAAAGTAGGAAAACATAATAGCCTTATATGCATATATGGAGGATATATATGAATCAACTATGGTGAGGATAAATTGAAGAGTTGAACTAAACCTTTAAAAGGTTGGGGGAAAAGAAAAGCTGCTTGTAAAACAAACATGAAAACTAAACAAGTTAGTAATAAAACAAAAAGAGACTCAAAGCTGCATTGAGAAGTGTTCACATAAGTTGAAGACCAATAATTTACCATATTTCCCAGCCTAAAATAATAATCCTAAATGGTACGGTGACATTAAAAAGGACCACTGAGAAGTTACTTGAACCTAACAGGACTCCAACTACATTCATCCAGCATGCTTTATTAAGTCCCAAAACAACCACTTCAACAATGCAGAAAAACTAAATTGAGTGGCAATAGAGACTGATAAAAAATTCGATCACTCCTGACAAAGAAGAAAGTTAACTTACAGTGTCCCTGCCTTTTAACAAAGAAAGACAGTAAACTGACTACAATCAAGTTTATTGTATCCTTAAACAAATTAAAAAAGTTATAGTGATCATTATCAAAAATAAAATAAAAAATTTACATTGACCTACCCCTAGAAATTTCATATCCATAAAATGCCTCTTCTTAATTTTCAGGGGCTGTACTTGTAAATATTAGATACCAGCCCCGTTTTTTGGGTGCTGAAGAATTTAATTGTTACCTTTTTCACAAAAAAAATCAGCTGTAGATCAGAATTACTTACCAGGCCACAATTTACCATATACAAAATGAATTTTACCAGATACAAGATCTGTTTTCATTCACCAACAAAATTTAATTCTACTTACACAGAAAATTTTAAGAATGATTTGAAAAATTATGTTACATTTCTGCCTACTTGCAAAAATCGTCTTTCAAAAGAAATAGTAATCGAGGCAACAACTAATAAATACGCATCTATGACGAGCTGTAACAGGGCTTCTTCCTGAATATACAATAGGCCTTAAGATAATCAGAACCTCTGAAGACAAATATAAAGAGGGATGGACAAGCATATACAAAGTACAGAGAACCTAAAGACAAGAAAAGTTCGAAATGAGAGGAACGAGTGTGGCCTAGTGCACAATGAAGTGAGTGCAAACCTAGGAGACCAGTGTTCAAATCACGAGACAAAAAACACTGTAGTTTCCTCCCATCTGCCTAAGCTTTGGTTGCCATAGTTACCCAGTATCTATGATGATGGAAGGTAATAAGTACCTGGAGGAATAGTCAGGAGCGTGCAAGTTGGCTTAGACACTACCGTCATTAAAAAAAGAGGGTAATCTGCATCCGAAGAACTAATAAAGCACATTTCTTTAAAATCGTACAGAGCGCGATTTTTCTTTCGTCAACGTTAACATTCATAGAACTACTGGAAACGCTGCACAATTCATGTACTCACGAAATATATACAGAGGTCATTCACCATATACATCATTCAGGATTCTAGATATATAGAAATAATAGCCAGACTTTTTTACATTAAAGACCACTTATCTTAACCATTTTGTCAGTATTTTTTTGAACACAAAGCACCTGATTAAGAGGATTATCCGGAGATTTCTTCCATAGCTTCCAAATCAAGTCTTTGTATTGAGTGTGTGTCAATCCTGGCTTCTCCTCCTTCAGCCTACGTAGTTCGGCTTCCTCAAAAACCTACAAGTATGAAGTACCACACCAATCACCAAACAAAACGTAAATGTGCTACATTACTAATTTATTAGCATATCCTAGTACAAAGTGTAAACTTTACCACCGAGTTGGACTTTTTAAGTAGAAAACTTCCAATTATGAAAAATCAAACTCTTACTTGGAAACTACAACATTTCAGCCTCTAGTAACACAATTATTCAATGAATAACAAATATGACGAATACCTTAAAGGATGCTTTGAGTCTCTTCTCAGGATGTTTATCAACAGGCAAATTATCAGTAACAGCCAAATGAGCAATTGCATCCTCCACAGTACTAGCCTCTACAATGGAATCATCGCGATTCGTATTTGTCACGAGTACTAATTTTTCATACTCGTCCTCCCCAGCCATACGACTCTGCTTCCGCTTATCCTCCTCCGCCTTCTTCGCTAAAGCCGCTTGCTCCTCCTCCTTCCTCCGCCGGATTTCTGCCTCCGTCACCTTTGGCACCGGGATGGCGACTCGGTTAGCCTTCTTATCCGGCTTCTTCATTGACTTCTCCAGCTCTTTCTCTTCCAGCTCGGCAAGCCGACGCACCTCGGCTTTTTTGGCAGCTGCCTCCGCGCGCTTCTCGGCTTCTTCTTCGCGTTTCTTCGCGGCGCGTGACTTGGCTCCCTCGGCTTCGCGCCAGTACTGTTCTTCTTTCTCTCGAGATTCACGCGCTTTGCGTTCCGATTCCACGGCGCTCTTCCGAGACCTAGCCTCTTCGGCTTTGCTGTTCACTCCCATTTTCTTCGGCATTTTCGCTAATTTCGCAGCTTCCGATCAATCTCCGTCGCCGATAATCTCCCGTTTCCAAATGGGCTTTGAAGTATTTGGTATTTACCTTTGGGAAGTTATGTGGCTGATTTTTAAAAATGCCAAATTTAGAGCTGGTCGTTCAAAAATAGTCCAATTTTATAAGTAATTGAAATTTAGCCATTTTTTATGTAGAGATAAATCTGAGCGAAAACATTGTTCAAAACCCGGAAAATACTTCAGTATATTATGCTAGAGTTCCAATATAAGTATACTTAAACTCCAGCATATTATACTGGAGTTCCAGGATAGTTTGCTGGAACTCCAGCATAATATGATGGAGTTTCAGCATAAATACACTAACTCCAGCATAATATACTGGAGTTCGAGCAAGTATAATGGTCCAGTATAATATACTGGAGCCAGCAAAGTATACCGGTCCAGCATAATATGCTAGAGTTCATACACAAGTGCACCGAACTCCAGTATATTATGCTGCACCGGTCTCTATTGCAGCAAAACGGTAGCTATTTTTAATTGACTTTGTAAACGGTGGCTATTTTTAATTGACCAGTCCGAAAACTGACTATACCGTGAAATTTTGGCTAAGTTATGTGGATGCTTTGGGCCAAATTCGTCTAGACTATACAATTGGGCCAAGGAATGTGGTAGGCGCGGAAAGTGCACAGATAGCCGATTTTGGGACCCTCCATTTAAGGCATAGCCGAAGTTTATAAATATTTATAAGTTTAGCCACTTAAAAACAACTTCCACATATGCGACCAAAGTTGTAAAAAGTCACGTCCGGAGTTACAAACTTTACCTGAATTTTAGTATATTGCTTGTGCAAGTAAACTTTCGACATACGTGTTTCACTTGCTATGGCTAAGCTTCTGTCTTACTGGTTTAAAGTTTGCACATTGCTTGTGCGAACAAATTTCGAATTTTCGCGATTGATGTGTGGATTGCCATAGTAAAACTCCAGATATATGGATTGAAGTTGGCTCATAGACATTTAGACATTTTTGTCTAAAGTTTATCAACGTTTCACCTAAAATTTGTTAACATTGGCTATAATTTAAATACTTTGAAAATTGATTATAACTTAAATAGAAGGGTGAAAATTGGCCATGCTTGTCCTTGACTGGGTAGGTTGAAGTATCAGGACAAGTCGAGCCAAACTTAACATTATCAATTCTTTCTATTGAATTTTTCAAAAGAAAACGATTGAGAATTCCGATTGACAATAATTTAATTAATGCTTCTTATCTTGGATTAAAGATAAAAAATTGAACTTAATTAATTCTTAATCCAAATGAAAATAAGAATGAAAATTAATGGTTCAAAAATAAATAAAAGAATAGAGAGGGTAAAATTCTACACTATATGTGTATATAAAGGAAAGCCAAGATCTAAATATGATATAGCTTCGAGATGCTTGTATGGGTCGAAATCTGACCACGCCTGGATCCGCATTAAAAAGAATGGCGAGGAGTTGATTGAGCCATGGTTGTATTCATAAGACGTCATCACAACGAGTATCTCGGCCGCTACCGAGATCGAACTATCTAAAAGCTTGTATGGCGAGGCATATGTCGTGACATTTAAGGGGGACGACCTAACGCACAATGAACAGACTAAGGCCCTCTGGATAAGAACCGTTGGATAAAAGGGAATAATTACTATATAAATAGAAAGAGATAACGAGAGCAGAGGGGCTTCTCTGAGGGAGAGGAAAAAGGCAGAAGAACCAGAGCAGGTTGTAGGAGAAAAGCACGAGAAATTGTAGATCTTGGCATTAAATCTTTGAATCGTCTTTCTTGAATCAATAAAGATAGATCCTGCAACTATCAATGGTATTCCCTCTGTTCCTCCTTTTGTTTTTACATTATGGGACGGTACTTCATGAATGTAAGCATGTTATTTATATTTGATATCTTTTATAAGTCTTGAAAGTTCATGAGCTATATCTTACCCTCCTATTCAATGTGTTTCGATGTTTAATCTAAAGTTAATTATCCTTGGCTAAGATTTATCCTCTATACTCTTATTAATTAGTTTAACGAAAAGCTTAACGCTTTTTGGTCAAACAACGCTAACGAAATATTTGAAGCTATTGACGTCAACATAAGCAAAAGATGATTTTTAGTTGTTCAGAACATTGGTGTTAATCCAAAACTTGAAGGCAAAGTATAGAAATTCTGGCAATTAAAAAACCAGAAAAAGCATGCTATATCTGCCATACCTTCCTTTTCAACGTGGAGTGATTCGATTTAATAGTGCTGAATGTCACAATTTGTTGAGAAATTGCCAGCGTCCCATATCGGTATTGTATAAGAAAATGGATGAAGCAAGGCCTATATAAGCCAAGGCCAATAGCAGAGGTAAGGCATCTTTGCGCTTGGGGCAATGACGCAGCTAGTGAGGTTCTAACCGAGGCGCGTCTATTGCTGGTTGAAAACTATTTCCAAACCCCCTCTTCGGCCTGGGTTTGCCTTGGCCGTTGAGAATTTTTGCAAGGGCTTCCTTACCCAGGGTAAAGCCCTACAATTTTAAGTTTCAATATTTGTAATGGTGATATACTGCAAAAGTGTTAAGGAGTACTTATTGCAAAGCCTTATCTAAGTCGGTTAGCTTTTGTTTAGATCCTTGAACCAAGTAGTTTTTTTTTAGATTCTATATACATGTATTAAGAAATTTAATAAATGTATAGAAATATTTGAATTATATAATCTTTGGTTAGATTCTATATACATTGGGCAGGATGGCCTAAATGCCACCTATAATTGTGCCACTTTGTCATGTCGGTCCTCTTACTTTATTTTTTTTCCAAACACTTTAACTTGTTCAAAAATTTATATTTTAAACCTCTGTGTGTATCTCACTTGTTTAACATAGAAGACACATCATATTCCACGTCATTTTTTATATTTTATCTATTAAAAACACTTATTATATACTATTTTCTTGAAGAAAAAGAAAATCAATGCCTCCATCTCATCTCTTCCCTCAAATTAACATAATTTTTTTCTTCCTTGTCCTTCTCTATTCTCATCTCCCTTCTCTGTCCTACTATTCCGTCGATGAATAGTCATTTAGGTACTTTTCTAATTAGGTAGATTAACGCCAAAATTAAATGAAAATAGAAGAAGATTAATATTTGATAGCAAAAATAATCACTTTTAGCAAGTGATTTTCAGGGATTGAGTTGTTTTTCTTTGTTTTTTCTTAGGGGGGGAGGGGGAATGGGGGAAGAAGAAGCGTACATGGGCCAAAAAGGGAGGGGGGTATTGTTGGGGGAGGGGGGAGGGGGAGACAGTGGGAAAGAAGAAGAAGAAGCATACAGGAGGGGTGACAAAAGGGAGGTGGGCACCGGGGAAGAAGAAGAAGAACGTACAGGGAAGGGGGGGGGAGGGGGGGAAACGAAAGGGAGGAACAGAAAGAAAGAGACATATCTCTTTTGCTTTTTTCTTTTCTTTTTTTACTTATTTATTTTTTATTCTTATTTTAATAATTTTTTTCTTTGTATTTTAATTATTTCTGATTCAAATATTTATATTCACGCTCATTATCCGCGTGAATTACACTCACTTTGTCCAGCTCAACCGTTATTTTGCCATATGTGCTTGGTCAACGGTCGGAGGGGTTTAAAATATAAATTTTGAACAAGTTAAAGTGTCTGGATGAAAAAAAGTGAAGTAAGAGGAACGACATAATAAAGTGACATAAATATAAGTGTCATTTAGGCCATCTTGCCTATACATTGTATGTAAGAAAATGGTTGAAGTGAGGCCTATATAAGCCAAGGCCAATTGCATAAAACTTATAATTGAATTAAATACAATTTTCTTTTCAATTTCTGTGCTTGAAATAAATGAGCTATGCATAGTACAATTTGTACTATGCATGCGTGGAGAAGTATTGGGTAAATATATATTCAAATGGGTCCCACGTTTAGGTATTATGCATTTGTCGAAAATTTCTCAAATTTTCCTTTGATCACTAAATCGTGGGTTAAATATATATAAATATTTGAATTTTATGTAATTTAAAATTAATATTGACTGATAAATACAATGTACATGTTTGTGCGTCACGTAAATTTTTTATCATTAATTAGTTTCATGCGTTGTAAATTGTAATGGAACCATATTTTTCAAAAAGGAAAAGGGACGGCCTAACGATATTGAGTAAAGCAATCACAATCTTCTTCTTCATTTGTTTTAGCGTTTTCAAATCAACGTGTTGTTTAGTTAGTTACGTTAATTTAATTTGAAAAATTTGATAAACAAAAATATGCTGACATGGTGCCACGTAACCAGCACGGCATCCGCATCATGTATGTAATAATCGTACTCATTCTTATCTCCTTGACATTCTGGTCTTAATTGTTGTTCAAAAGTCTATTTACTTTTATTTTAGTTTATTATTTCGTTATCCCATTTTAATGTTTTTTTTAGCTCCGGTGCTGCAAAACGTTTGTACTTCAACATATTCCTCAACGAGGAAAGGGTAATTTAAATTTTATTCAATTTAAATCGATAAAAATAATATGGATTATTTTTTTCAATATATATGTCCAACTAAATATTACAGGTTAATATAATTAGACTAATTATATAAGTCTAATATATATGGATTCAATAAATAAGTCCGAATCCATTGGGTTACAAGTGATGCGCACACTTCATTAAGCCCAGGATGTCATCTTCCTAGAGGCTCATTTGGTGTCACATGTCAAATGACGTGGCGCACCAAGTCAAACGAAATAGCCAATAGTATCGTGCCACATGTCAAAATGACAAGGCATGCCAAGTCAAATTAAAAGGCCATGAAATCCACATGTGCAAGTGATATGTTCTGGCCAATCAAATGCGGCCTTGTCACTCTGAACCTGATTGACCGGAAAGAGTTTGTTCATATCACAACTCTTCCCTCCCACAACTATAAATAGGGGTCTTCATAACCCAGAAAAGACACCAGAAGTTATAACAAGAAGACACAAGGGAGCTCGTGGATCAAAGGCCACAATTCTCTGAAAACTGCAAGTGTTCAGGTGTTCAAGCATTCAAGTACTTCAATACAAAATTTCAAGTATTCAAGATCAAGAACGAAGTCAAATCAAATAAAATACAAGGCATTCAAGATCAAAGCTACTTGTTCGTGATAAAATTCGTGCAACAATCAAAGCGTTCGCGACGGATAAATAAAATTCAAATTCAAGATCAAGCTCAAAGGCCCTTGAATTTATATTGAAAAAGTAGAATCAGTGGAACCATTGAGATTGTAACACTCAAACTATTTGAAATCCATACTACAATTGTCACAATATTTTTCGGTCTCAATTATTTTCTTGACGCAAATTTATTGTCTACGGGTACATACATAATACAGGTTTAATATTATTAAAAGTAGAAGAATTAACCTAAATAGCCGCATACCCAACCGCTTAAACTAAAAATAGTCTGTGTAAGTATAATATATGCGTAATTTATGTTATATGTGTATAATTATGTATAATCAATATATAAATTATATATATGGCTATAAAAAGTAAACAATGAATATGTTCGATTATTTGTGCAAAAATCCCTCAAAAATAATTACATGTCCAGTGTAAACAAAGAGAAAAAACTCTAGCACGAAAGATATAGCATTTATTGCGGAATACATCTGGAGACACTTAAAGTTGGCACCATCTTTCATTTAGACACCTAAACTGAAGGTTGTTCCTATTGAGCATTTATACTACACTAAACGTGTTCCAATTAGACACTTTTTTGACAATTAGCCAAACTTACAAAGTGTGTGCAATGCACTCGCGGCTGACGTGGCGAATGACAAATAAAAAAAAGGATATATATCATTTTGAGTTTAAAAAAAAAGAAAAAACTATTTTAAAATCTATTTAGTAACAAAATAAAATAGATCCCAAGACCAGCCGCGCCGGACAGACCCCAAAAAACCGGCGACCCATCTTCTTCTACGAGCCATCAACAGCCACGCCACCATCAACCTTAACGGAGCCGCCGCCATCACTCCATTGAAATCAAATCCGCCGCCGCTGCTCCCTCCCTCATCTCTATCTTCAACCAAAAAACCCTACACTCTATCAGCGTCTCAATCAGCCGCACCAGCTTACAACGACCACCAACTCCATCTGTCTTCCACGATCTCCTCCACACAAACAGAAACCGCCGCCACACCTCCCTTCACACAAAACAGCAACACCCAGCGATTGCCCACTCCCTTCACACAAAACAGCAACACCCAGCGATTGCCCACTCCCTTCACACAAAACAGCAACCTCCTCTTCTTAAAAACGACTAGCAACACCCAGCGATTGCCCACTCCCTTTCTCACAACAGCAACCAACGAACACCCCAGTTCCGCCGGTGCCCCCTGAACCTAGTAGATGCCTACAGCAGCGACGAGCAGCAAATACAGATTTGAAACTAAAAAAATAAAAAGGACGGGAAATAAAAAAGACAAAAAAAAATGAAAAAATCTATTTTTTGGGCTTTTCACGCGCCTATATTGGGTGAAACTCACTCTATGTGCCAACTCGGCAAGAAGTGCCTAATTGGAACAAAGTTCATGTAATGTACGTGCTCATAAGGAATACCCCTAAGTTCAGGTGTCTAAATAAAAAATCGTGCCAACTTTAAGTGTCTCCGTACAGCCTAGCATTATTAATATGTCAAACGTCCACATTCCACATGTTTCTTCTTCCCTTTTTTTCTCCTTACGTGAATATTTGGAGGACCTCTTCAGTTTTTGGATTAAATTTTTTCATTCTTATGCTAATGTGTATGTATGACATTTGAGATTTTGTGTTGACCTTTACATTTTTCATCTTAATTCTCTGTTTATAAAAAATCTTGCTTCTTGCGATAAATATGAACAAAAAATAAGGAGGAAGATACCCCAAAATAGACCCACCAATTAGTTGCCCCGATACAACCTACCACATTACTTTATCAAAATAATTCTTTTGTACAGGAACAAACTAATATTAGCGGGTCATTTGGTAGGACGTATTAGGGAAAATAATATATGTATTAGCTTTGATATTATTAATCCCTTGTTTGGTTATGTTTTCAACTTATGTATAACTAATATTTGTATTTAGTTATAAACGATATTCAGTACTATTCTTATACATAACAAACCATGGTATTAGCAATACCATAATTTTTAATACATGAATAAACATGTATAAAAATAGAACTACCCTCTCTAAACCTTTTCCAAATCCTTTCAAAAGAATATGGGGGGTATTATCAATATTATCAATTCTAGCATTACTAACCCTATATTCAGTACTATTCTTATATACCCTGCCAAATGACCCCAAGTGTAAAAAATGTGCTTTTAGTTGGTCCATTGGTTGGTCCATTACATCTATCTATAGCAATCATGGTCCTCTATATTTATCCACTAATATAGTAAAGGCTCATGGTGGTCCTTAATTTTGTCGATGTCTCACATTATATTTCTCATAAAAGTAGCCCCATCTTATTTTGATAGGAGCTGCAATGTGCAAATAGAGATAAATTGATTTTTTATCAATGGTAATGAATGTCACCCGATATTTTCTCGTGACAAAACATGTCAATTTATTTCTGCATATTAAAAAGTAATG